ATAAGTTTCAGAAGGTAAAAAAGGTGTAAATAAATTAAAAATTTCAGTTCTGTAAGCTTTAAAAAAGATGTAATCTTTCTTAATTCATTTATGAATAATAAATTGGCACTATCGTCTCTGCCAATTTTAAGTTATTTGATTAAAACATTTACTTTAGATCTTATTATGTGGTAAAAGCAACAAAATTTAGCATAATTATCCAAGTTCACCTTAACCGTCTCTAGTAATAAAGTTCGTCTAACTTAACTAGATACTTATAAATGTATATAAAAATATATTTAAGTAAATATTTATTTATAGGAACCATTTGATGTATTAAAAAATGAATGCATAATAAATTAAAGTTTTGAGCCCTCGCGTACATGGTTTAATCACAGTGTTAAAAGGGGGTTTCCCGAGAAATAGAAGGCGATCCCTGCGTTCATCTGCCATTCAACTCCCAACAGCAACTCCCCGGCACATTTGCCAAATCAATATGCAATATCCCACAAGTAACGGATTTCAAACTTCCACTCGCACACACTCGCTGGGCAATCATATCGATGGAGGCAGAGCTGAACCGCCTGTCATAAAAGCCGCACACACAAAAATACGAGTAGTTGGCTGTATCAAGAGCGAACTGTGGCATGAAAAGCACAAAAACTAGGTTAGTTGCGGAGATTTTTTACCATGGCTAACATGACCACCTACCCCAGCCACCAAGCCCCTACAAAATAACAATTGCACCCTCTAACCCCTGACCCCTGACCCTTTCCCCCTGCCACCAGGCCATCCCAAAGCCATCCGTTCATGTCTCTACCAATGCATTTCAAAACAGGAGCAGCAGAAGAAGCGAATCGGGAAAGGCGTTTGGCCACGCCCCTCCGCCTCCGCCCCCACCATATCTGTCAAGTGAACTGGAAGTGATACGGATATATAGGGGGATGGGGAAGCGGAAGGGGGTCGGGATGGGAGGAGGCTAGAGGGAGGAGAACGCTGAGCGTGTTCACGTGCAAAATTGCAACGATTCCCAAGCGGGTTTCGGTTTCTCCTTCAAAATCGAATTCACTTGGCTGGGTACACTGAGAAAAAATTACAGGCGCAAAATGAAATTGATACTTCCAGTAAAAGGAACACAAGATGCATTGAATTATATTTACTTTCTTAACTTCATATTTAATTTTTAAACCAAACAACAAATTGTTGATACTATTAAATATGCAAAATATGTTTTAAAGAAATAATTAAGTATAATAATATTTTAAAATATTTGGAAACAAATTTGCATTGTTAAAGAGTGTGTATGATGCACTTATTTTAAAGAAAGAAAGAAAAATATAAAGAACGCTTTCTTTCAGTGCATTGTGTTCTGGTGTGCGTATGCGATTGCAACTCGAGTTCGATTTGGAGTGTGATCGATGACGATGACGGGCAGGATGCGATGCGAACAGGAAACGGACTGCCAAGGATTTTAATCAGCTGTTGTCGCTCCCTATGAAGTTGGCTTGAGGCGGCAGCTTGGAAGCCGATCGGTTGCGGTGATGTCCAGTCGTCCTGCGAGCACGGAAGGAATGGATGACCGGTTGAAAGAACAAACGGACTCTTGACCGTTTTGCCAGGCCAAACATTTGTCTTTGCACATTCAGGTTATCGTAAGTAAGAAATCGTTCAGTAGCTACGAGCTCCGCACATTATTCAACAATTCTAAAATTGGGTAGTTGGTTATCCTTATGGTAAGTATAGTTAAAGTTAAAACCTAAATCAAAATCTCGAGCATTACTTAACATAATGTAATTGTACCGGTTATTATTGATTTTTTTGGAATTGAAATTAAATCTTTAAATAGAGGGTCAAATTTAAAAATAACTTTATTTAGTTGAACTGAATGGCTGTAGTTCGATTGCCAATGTGTTCGATGTCTGAACCAATTAGCATTCCCCTTAGTTGGTTAGCCATAGTTCTCCATGTCACTCCTTTAACTTTGGTTTTGCACACCATCTTTTGGGCCACAGATTGTTTGTCCACATTGCATGCCGCTAAATTGTTTGTCTTGTGTGTGTGCACTTCTATCTCCGATGCTGCACCCAGCAGTGCCTATCCCATCTGCCCGTCTCTTGATTTTGGGGATCCCCATCGATGTGCGTGCAATGCCATTAACAATACGACCAATGCCAAAAACGGGCAAACGCGCCAAATCCATTGTTATTTCGGTGGTCGATTGTTGTTCTTCCGGCTTGCGTGAGCTTACTGTGGCCCTAGCCACGCCCTTACCCCTCCCGCCCACCGCTGGGCAAATTGTGCAAACAAACAGCGGATGTTAAAGCGAAGAAGAGGAATGGGCTGTTTTGAATGGATGCTGCTAAGTACACTCAAAAAAAAATTTTATTGTGAACAATAATTTTCATATTACCTTCTGTCTTATATTAAATTAATTTTATTTACCTGAAATATTTGTGAGTAACTAGGATTGCTTACACTGAAAAGGTTTACACTGCAAAGGTTTAATTTTGGCCTATCTCTTAATGTTTTTTAAATGTACTACAAAATTTAATGACGCTTCGATATTTTTGCCAAACAAGCCAATCTGCAGCAAATGTCTACTGGGATGATAAATTAATAATTTTATTTAAACTATATTTTTGAAAATCAAATTACTACATTTTAAGTTTGTTACAAGCTATGCGCCAATAAATAACTCTCAAAAACGAACAAATGCAATCTTTACTACTCGAAACTAATACAACTGAAATATTTTATTTTTTGGCTGCATTTTGCTAAGGCTAAACTTTTTTCCGACTGCATGCAGAACTTGTGCCGCAAATCGCTTCAATTTTGGTGCCCCACTCTGTTCCTCTCATCTCTTGGTTGGAGTTGGAGGATAATTTGGCGGATAGGAGGGCAGCGGGCGTGGGCTTGGGCTTTTGTTTTTTCAGCTCGGTTTGTTCTCAACTGCAATAATCTTATTAGCAGTTTGTTGTTCGAACCTAATCAATTACCAACGTAATTACAAACTTTGCTAATCTGCCTCGGTTTCCCCAGCAACGCTTTCCCAGGTCTTTCCACATATTGTTCATGACCGTGTCTGTGTTCGCGTTCGTGTTCTTGTCCCTGTCCGTGTTCATGTTCACGTCTAGATTGGAATACATCCTGCATGTCCTACCAATCCCACAGGCTCGTGGATGGAACGCGCTTCGCTGATGCGGCCCAAATTTAGTGGCCTAAATAGCGATTTGTCCAGTGGAGCATAACAAAAGATCTCATCAAACGTTGGCAAATTGTTAACCAGAAACTGATGGAGATGGAAGCGGAAAGGATTTCGATTAAGCGTTAGTTGAGAGGATTCCAGGGAAATATTGTTTTAGTCCCTCGACTGGTTCACAAGGGTCTACTGATGGTAACTCAATTACCGAGCTTAGCTCTACTTAATTAGTAATTTGAAATACTATTGATATTTCAATATTTTAACATACATAATAAGCTAAATTTTTAAAACTTTACTGAATGTAAGGTAATTTAACTATCTGCAATATCATAAATTGACGGCAAAATAATAGAAGAAGTCTTTAAAAAAAATTTATATATAACAATTAAAAGTTTAATAAAAAATCAATGGAGAAACTACATACTTCTATATTATTCATATAATTATATACATTTATAAACTAGTAAAGAATGAATCATACGTTGGCAACTCAGATTCATCCACACAATTTCGTAAGCCACCCAGATCAATGAGCCGCTTATCGAATGCCAATAATCAATTTCCCCTTCCTTTTTTACCATTGTTGCAGCGTTTATCCTTTGGGATTTTACTAGAGGAATGCCAAAAACTTTTTGGCTTAATCAAATGCCAAAATACTTGAATATTCCAAGTCGAAATTATTGCCGTACACGCCCGCCCCGTCCCCATCCCGTTCGCATCTGCTTTTGACAGAAGCTGTGGAAAACTTTTCCACGCATGATTTAAATGGGAATAAATCTTGCGTTAAGACTCGACTTGGATTTGGATTATGCAAGACCTGGAGAAAAGCGAAACGAACTGCTGCGTCACGTAGTTGGTAAATTTGTTTACACGTTCTGACGGGTCCCTTGCATCCCGGCTAAGATTCTCGTCTCGGGTGGCCCGCCCCCGACGTCTACACAATTGGCATAAAGTTTCTCATATGCAAATCGCAACTTTAGCAAAATATTTCGTTTATTGTTGAAGTTTTCCTTTAGTAACTCTCGCTCTCGCAGTCGTCAACATTTTGTATGTTTTCCGTTCATTTTTCTTGACTTGCCTTGGCTGAAAGTTTTTCCTCGCAAAGTTTTTTGGCTTAAGACATTTTTTGATAAATTATCCAGCGTCAGTTTCGGGTAAGAAAAAAACTCGTTTGCCTTTTTTTTAATAAAAATCATGACACCTTTTATTGATTTACTTATTCTGTTTGGATGCTGATGTGTGATTGTGTGGGGATGTGATTTGTAGCAATACACACTTTAGACTTAATAAATACATATAATCCATTCGCTTAACTAACTGTGTTTTATCACTAGAATTACGTTCTCGCTGCTGACTGACTTAATATAGCCTCGCCAAATATTTTCTGCCTTTTTCAAAACTATTACTTTCTTACTGCATCCACACTAAATTGCAATATATTTTTTATTGGAAAGTGATCCGCTTAATATCTAATCAGAACACACAGCCTTGCTTTGTTTCTCTAAAAAATTACACTTATAAGCTAATTATTAATTACACATTTAATTACACAGAGAACACTTTTCAGTTTATTAAGCTTACTTCTAACGTGAATGCTTATATCTGCGTTGAAATAATGTTTATTTTAAAGCCACATCCAGATAATTTGTATAAAATGCACACAGCTTAAACTCTACTTAACACAAAAACTGTTGATCAATTTCAAAACTTAATTAAAAACTGAAAATAATTTTGCTAATCCTTCCATCTGATTTGTCAATGCTTTTGTTCAGCTACAAAACCAATTTATTTATTTTCACCCCAAATTGGAACTTAGAAATTTTTTAGTTTATTTTTATAAATTTACTTCGTTAAAATTAGTTTGCTTTACAAGCTTATAAAATGGCTTTTCTTGGCTATCGTATGTTACAATATGTTTGCAAGTTAATTTTTGTACAGGTTTTTAAAATGTACAGTTCTTGGAAATTTGTATGCGACAGCAGTGGAATAGGCATTTATTCTTAGGATTTTTGAGACTCAAGCGTATAATATTTACAAGATTCAGGGACCTATACGTCTTCTAAAAACGATTTGCGTACATCTGAAATGAGAGGACAAATTAGAATATTGTAGGTTAAGACAAGACGCTAGGGTAAAACGTACCTTTCAATCGACGTCTTGAATCAACTACCACTTGACTTTGCCTTTCCCAAAATAAATAAATGGCATAGCTCTGGCGAACGTCAACAAATCAACTGAGGAATAAAAAACACATTCTTTACATCAGTTTATAAATAAATATGGTACAAATCGGGGTGTGTTGAAGTGTGAAGAAGCAATTAATTTTTAGATTCACTGAAAAAATAAAATTTTAAGCTTAAAGCATAAACATACATCACAAATAATTACCTTGCTGTACTATAAACTAAATTAAATAAAATATATTTCATGTGCGTTTGAAACAGAGAACAAAACTTTATTTAGATATGTATGCTGTGGTATGAATGTGCATGATTTTTTACATAAACAAAGTATGCTACATAAGGCACTTATCTACTTCAAAGATGTGCGACGACAGAAAGCCAATTAAACTTCAACTAAAACAAATAGTTTACAAATAAATGAATCATATATAATAATATAATACCAGATTTGTGCAAATTTGGATGATGTAGTGAATGATAGAAACTAAAAAAAATAATATAATAAACTCCATTAATGAGACTTCAACATAAATAACAATTTTTTCCTTTTTGTTAATTTCATTTGGTTGGTTGTCGTTTTTTATGCATAGTGCTTTACAATTCGCATATTTAACAATGAGAAGCGTATGTAAATTTGTTTGTTGGACTAATTATAATAATAATAGGATTACTTATAATGAGTGTTAGCAAAAAACATTTCTTTTTTTTTTTCAGTACAAGTAAAAAATGTGAGTTAGTTTGGGGGAGTAACAAATCAGATAACTAAAAACTAATTATGCGCGTCAGCATAAATGTAGGTATATATAAAAATAGATAATCCATTGAACAAAACGAGTAACTTGTAACTATATCTAGAATATATATCATGTGTGTATATATATTTATAATAAAGAACTTCATTGTGACTTGCAACATGAGAGATGAACAAATCAAACAGATAAAGAGTGGGTGTAAAATATGAGATATATCAAAAACTTATAACCTAACACTCTAACATATCTTTTTTATTTATTTTTTTGGCTTTTATTTTTTAGTTTCGTTTGTGAGTCATGTAAATGTGTACAGAATATTTAAGAAGATGGATCAACCAATTCGTACGACAGTTTAAAAGTAAGAAAACAAGTCGTAAAAGATTGGAAATGAAGGGAACTTCAACAGAAAGTTAACTAAACTAAGGTCTAAAAATTGTATTATTATTCGTTTCTTTTTTTGTATTTTTTGTTGTTTTTTTTTTCTAATTCAACATTTAACGTGCTAAATCATAAGTGATTCTGTCTCTTTTTGGCACAGATTTCATGTCTTTTTCTGCTCTTGTATTTGGTTTTTCATGATACGTACAACGTTGGCATTCGCGTCTTCGTTTACTCTTGCAACGCGCGCGCTCTACACGGCAACTCTCAATTCTCTCAATTCATTGACTACTCCATATTTCACAAATCTCAGTACTCCTCTACTCGGCGTCCGGATGAGCTTGCAGCTGATGGGCGACATCCCCCAGCAGTGCCCTTTAATAGGGCTTGGAGTCCTTGGGCTTCTTCAGCTGCACCTTGAGGCGCTTGGTGCCCACCTGGAAACCGTTCATCGCCTTGATGGCCACCTGGGCCGAGTCCGGATTGTCGAACGACACAAAGCCAAAGCACTTCGACAGGCTGGTCTGCTTGTCGATGAACACCTTGGCTGAGATCACATTGCCGAAGGGCAGGAACGTGGACGCCAAATCCGTATCGGTGAACTCCTGCGGCAGATGGTAGATGAATAGGTTGCAACCCTCGGGTCCTGAAAGCAATAAACAAAAGATCAAGCATTAAGTTGCCGTCATATTTGTGGAGAAACATATATCATTTCGTTTTCAAGAACGAATAGAAAATGATTATTTGTATACCAAGGGAAAAAAACCGAACAAATGAAAATAAGTTACAGACAAACTTAAAAAATTCGGACCTTTTATGAAACAAATTAATGACTTGTGTAATACCATCAATAATAGAAATACTATTTAAATTAGTTCAACCTGTGCATATTTCAACTAGAAGGTTAAAGTTATGAAAGTTGATTCTAAAGACCGGACTGCAAAATGAAAACAAACTGTATCTCTCTCAACTTAGGTATTCCGATACAAAGCCTGCTTTGTAGTCTCACCTTGCAGCGAGCGATTAATTAACCAGTTGCACATCCCCCCACTAACGCTCTGCGTTTTCTATCAAACTCCAGGAATGTACACCCAGCAAACCGCAGAATAGAGACGGAAAGTGGAGCGGACAAAGACTGAAATTATATAGGTGGCGGTGTAGTGGCGGTGATTAAGGCAGGGGGAATCCGCGGCACCAGCAGCTGATTGCCAAAACGGAAGCGGAAATGATGTGCCCAACTCCCGATGCTCTATCCCTGTCTCTGTTGCACTTGTCTCGCCATCTCTGTTGCTACCGTCAACTGTCTGCGTTACGTGTGTGGGTGTGACACTTTGTTTAGCAGCACGTGCTACTGCGATTGCTGACATCGTCATCATTATCTTTTGGGGCATTATCATCGTCGTTCCCGGCGCTATCATCTTCGCTCCGTCCCTGTCGCTCGACGCGCCCCGTCCCTGTCAGACGCACATTAACGTGGCTCGCGCCTCGTGCTGCGGTTGCACTTTTCGTGCAAATTACTGTCAACGTCACTGGCAATGAGCAGTCAGCAGTAATACAGCCCACCAGCATCCAAAATCCAAAGCAACCAGCTCAGATAGAATGAGATGGAGTGAGCAGATAGACAGAGACGGACAGCTACGAGATGAAACAGAGGGGTGGTGAAAGCTGCGTCAGCAGTCGCACTTTCACTTTTGTGATGCTTTTTAATGACAGCAAAACGCTTCGAATAACAGCTGGCATTTTGCGGTCTTTCAATTTTACCAGGCTTAAACGCCAAACAAAAAAAAGAAGGAAAAACACATATGGCTAAAAAAATGAATTTCTGATGTCAGGGTCAGAATGTATAAAACGTAGCTGAATAATAAAACGGCATTTTTAACTTTAATTACAATAAAAATGATTAGCCCAAATTTGGCATGTTCCTAAATAGTTTCTTCCTTATATTATTCTAAGCAGAACTACAACCACAACACAAATCACAATTGACTGTTTCAATATATTGGAAAACAATGGTACAATAAATTTTGCATTCAAATCTATTTTCTATACTCTTATACCCACTCAGAAAAGCATGCTACAAAAAATGTATACTTATATAAAATAACGATTTTCAAGTTATCCATATTTAATTGTCACTGAAATGAAAAGAGTCCCATTAATAATTAAAGCAAACAGCCGCACTGTTTGATGTGTACGGGAACACACACGCTGAGATTCACACTCATTGTAATCGGATAAGTTTGTAGTGCTTTCAGGACATCATTCACCACCCACTACCACCTCGATAACTCTCATTCCATCATCGTTTGCCAGAAGCACTGCTATTGATCACCTTGATGTATGAGTTGGCCACAGTAGGCCTGCAATCCCAGTAGGTTCCTCGGCAATCCGCCCACTCACTCCTCCGATCCCACGCCCTCAAGGTAAACTGACTGCTGACAGATTGCCCGACGCTGATGCGATTACAAAATGAAGCCAAATTGAATGGCGAAGAAAGCTGCTTCTCCGGAGGCATCTCCTACACAGTCACAGTCACAAGCCGTTGACGCCGCCAGGATTTTAATATTAATTGACTCAGGGCTCTCGTGATGCACTTGTTGCTTTGTAATTTAGCACACCCATCAATTTTGTAAGGCTCTGGCGGAGAGGAGAGCCAAGGAGCAGTAAAAAGTCCAATTAAAAATACTTCAAGCTATTGAATTACGCGACTAACAAGCGACACGTGTGGCTCGACACGATATATAATTAGATGAAAGGACAAATGTGAGAGCAGGCACGAAATGTTCCCAAGGCAACAAATTAAGGCAACAATTTTGAATGGCACTCAGCAATTTTCTGGAGGGGTTTCAAGTGGACGGAAAGCAAAGGTAGCCATCTCAAGCAGACATTTCTTCGATAGAAATATAAGAACTTTGTTGCTAAGTCTGCTTAATAATATTGGTTGACTAAAAGGGGCTTAGTTTTATTTTTACATTTTGCACTTATGTAGATATTACGATAAATGTAAGTGATAACATTGAACACACATTTTATTAAAGTTGTATTGTTAGGTATTTATTATGACTTTATTCGCTTTAAATCCAACATTTATTTTCATAACTAAATCCATAAACAGCGTGGCTATTCTAAACTTTCTATAAATTCAGTTAGCTGTCAACCGCAGAATGTTTTCCACCCATTTTGGTAACCAGAAATGTGTAACTTCTTGGAATTCGCCAAGGATTTTCCCTCTCTGTTGCTCTGCACATTTAAAACAAACTTCCTGTTTTGTTTTTTCTTAACTCAAGGTATTTTTTTTTTTATTTTGTTCGGTTGGAATTTTTCAGTGTGCGAAAAACGATTTCCTATATTGCATTTTCCTCTTCCGCCGAGCAAAGATGCGCCATCCGCCTCGGCAATGTCGCCTGCCCTTTTCGCTATTGATGCACTCGCATTCTGGAGGGGAATAAAGGGAGATGTTAGTTGCAGATGCGCATTCCCTCTCCCTTTTGCAGTTGGAAGCCAGCATTTTTTGCCATTTTCTTGGCTGTCGCGCTGCTCACCGAAGTGAGCTGGGGGGCTGGGGAAAGTCTTTCTTTATTTTCCTATTCCTCTCAAGGGCACGACCGAGGCGGAAGGAAGCCAAATGGAATCTATGGCACATAAGCTACAGTTCCAGTTTTGCCTGCACATATATCTAAGTTTCTTTATTGATTTTAATGCGACTTATGCATGAAACTGTAGTGAGAGAAATTGTTGTTAAAAATTATATGTAGAAAACATTTTTCTAAATTATGTTGTTCAATGTTTTATTGAATTGTTGTATGGTACTTTTTGTCATGTTTTTCAATACGTCGTTGAATATTTGTTTGAATCTTTAAATTTATAAAAACTTTTGGGGTTGATGTTGATGTCAATACAAATATGTTGTTAATATTGTTTGGACATTTTCTTCCCAATGATTTTAAAATATGTTGCTTCAATTTGTTATTGCTAAGAAGATTGGTTTAACCTGTAGCCATATATATTTAAGCGAAGAATCCGTTTTTGTGCGCTTTGATTTGTCTTTTTTTTATAAGCACTTACTTACAGGCGCGCACACCCCTTATAATAATTCCAAGCTCCTCCCAGCGCATAAGTCGCCAATCCTTTACTCCTCGGGTCGTCCTCTCCCTCCTTATTCTTTCTGCACCCACCAGCAACATTTGGTTATTTTATATTCCAACTTCCGGCTTATGCACATAACTTTAATCCGGATGCAGCCGGAAGGAGAGGCGACCGCTGCCGCCTTAGGGTCACCCATGCGATGACGGAGGCGGGGGATTCCCATCGTCTGTCACTGTCATATTTGTTGACTTCCTTCCGTTCCTTTCTCGGCCAGAGTTCCCGTTCTCTTGATCCTTTAAAGCATAGTTCTGGGCCGCTTCTGATTTTTTTATACTTTACAACATACAACAAGCAACATATTTTTCATATTTTTATATTTATTTTATTTTTCTGCTTTTGCCTCTGTTTCCTGCTTAATTTTGTGCCTGTCGTCTGGCCCTGTCTACATGCTCGTAAGTTGTTTCCTGCTCCCGACCCTCTTTATCTTCTTCTTAAACTCCCACACTATCGTCCTCTTCCTCTTTCTGTTGTGGAGCTGTCGTCATTTGATAAATTTCACATGTTGAGAATTTATCTGCTTTCGACATTGTTGCTGCAGTTTTTCTTGGCTTTTTTCCTAACGTAGATTGCATAAATCTGACATTTTTAGGATTTTCTTAACCATATTTCTCCCACACTATCCGAAATGTTTAATATTTAAAAAAAAAAATGGAAAGATTATATAATTTTTTGGCTGATTAGATTTTAAAGACATAAATCTTCAGTATAAAATGTTTAGGACTTAGTAACAACAGTTTACTAAATAAAATCTTTTAAGACACTTTTTTTCACACATATTTTATATATTATCTCAAAGTTTGTAATAGAAAGCTCTTTAACTTTCCCATCAAAGCTGAGCAAATTAAAAAAATCAAATTTTGTATACACTTCCTAATCAAAGTCAATTACCCATTAACGGCTTTTCCTCAGCAATCTTCCTTATCCCATCCAATAATTATAGAGAGCTTAGACCTTCGCTCCCTTCTTTTTGGTCAGCTTCCATTTAAGCAAGTCCAAGTCATCCATGATAGTTTTTAACAACCCAACCAAGCAGAGGGAAACATGGCAGCTCACATTTCGCATTTTGGCTAGCAGGAGCAATTTGTTGTACTTCCACAGACAGAAGCACAAAATCCTCGCTTCCTCAGGATTGTGACTGTGACCGTACGTCCCCTGAATAGTTGTTGTTGCAGTTGGTCAGGAGGGAATTTCGGCGACGTCATGAGTCAGCAGAGCAAACAAGGAGTCGCACAAAAGGACGAAGCAAGCAAAAGTGGTGTATTCAGTGGAGACGAAGGCGAGCAAGTCACTCAACTGCAAAAATATATCTCACTATATGGTGCATAACATACAGAGCGAAAAATATATGTCCAGTGAGATATCTACCTTCTACCTTCTATTTTTGTATGAAAACTTTAAAATTTGTCGAAGGTTAACCGAAATGCTAAACAAACTATTCGATAAAATTTTTATACTAAGTTAATGTTATTAGAATATAAATTAAGGATTTTATATATTTTATATTATAATAAAAGCGTAGGACTCTTGAACGAATTATTTTTAAAAAAGTTTAATATAAAACAGTGTGTCTAATTAGTGAATTTTATAAAACAACAAATACATGTCAAAAGGCAATTTTTAGGCTAAATTTCTCCCTCTGCACATACACATCAGCTGAAGCATCGCCGGCACTCCCATCCACTCAAAGGATGTTTGCTTATGTAACCGGAAATATAGCAAAAAGTGCAATGCCAAAACATTTTCCGTTGCATTTTGCCCAACATTTCGAATATCTGCTGCTGCAACTTTAATGTTATGTGTGCCAAAGTACACACCCAGGCACCCAAAAACACAGTGGGCGGGGAAAAGAAATGCTCAGTTGCCATATTTCCCGATATCGACAGCGACGTCTGACTAATGGAATTGTGTGTCAAGTGTGTGTAATATTTACACTGTGTCGGGAGCTGATAAAAATTTAAGCCGCACCAAAACGCTCCTCATAAATTCTCCTTAGCGAGTGGAAGATTGGAAGATGGGAAGATGGAAAGTTGGGTAGCAGAAGTGAAGTATTCAAGATGATTGATCTTATTGATTTTTGCAACATCTCTCCCAGGCATTGGCTTATGGCATTGAAGGATTTGTGTCAGCAGAAGACATTCGATTGCGGATTAGAGGCGCTTTGAGCACACATTCAAGGGGCGTGGCAAGGGAGATTGAACATCTTGTGAGATGGTTAAAATGTTCGTGATTTTGATTTGTAGGAGCTCAAAAATCGGCTTGGACCACTCCTTGAATTGTGAAAACGACCAACTGTCGTTCTGCATTTATGGCATACCAAATTCTATCCTTTATCCAACTGCATAGCATTTGATAGATGACTTTTCATATAAAAATAAGGAACAATAAAAGCGACGAGAACAATGGCACAACTAAAACTAAGTAGATTAGACAGACATCCACAAAATGTCCATGCCAAGTGGGATTCAGGGAAAAGGGGCAAGGGCATGAAGTGTTGGGAAGTGGGTGGAAATAATGCAGGGCCAACGAACAGAAAATAGTAAAACCGGGATGCAAAAAATAACCGCATCACGAACGAATGACAGTGACAGCAATGAGCGGGTTAATGCATGCGATGTTGCGTCAGCAGCAGAAACAAATACAATTGGAAAACGAAAATAAGTAGAGGAAATATCAAATTGTAATACCCTTACTACCGTTACTACCGTTGACGATCAAAATAAAAAATTAAAATCGGACATAATTAAGGTGAGGGAAAAAAACCTTTTCTATACCAGTTTAAGGGCCACATTATTTCCGCATAACTTTTGTTAGAGTATTCAAAGTGCTAGATTGTGTAAACTAAAACGAGTAGCGTAGTGGATTAAGTGTAGAGCAAACGATTTGATATTGGACTGACACAACCGCAGCAGCATTCATTCGTGAATTTAGCTACATTTATCAAAATGTCAGACATATAGACATTTCTATTTCTAGCGTGTGCCTGTAACTTTCCAATAGCACTCTTATGACCAAAAATAATGTAATTATAAACGGTGAAAACTTTTGGGAAACTAACAAAGGATTTCGCTAATACAATTGGGGTTAATGACAAAATAAATTGAAAATAATTTTGATTTCGTTTCATGTTTTACTTTTCTTTAAAATATTGGTTTTTCTTATCAAAAGATGTAAAATTATATATTTTTCTCAGTGTTAATGTAGTGGGTGACTCACCTTCAATCTGCTTTCCCGCTGCGGCGGCGGCTGCGGCGCTGAGGGCGACGCTGGCCAGCGGAGAAGTGGACAATGCACTGGCGCTGCCAAATTGCGGTAGACCGGCGGCTGTTGACATATATGCCGATGCCAATGGATTCGGATCGGACCCTATGTTGATGTAAGAGCAGGGGAGAGAGAGAGAGAGAAGGAAAGAAGTTTTAGTAAGGGTCGAAAAATAGCAAATTTGTATTTTTGTTGATGGGTAAATAAAATAATGCAATTATAAGTGTGGTCTTCAAAAATCATGTTCAATTGTTGAAGTGGCAAAGAAATAAAGTCGGCTTTAAACATACAATTTAAATATATTTTGAATTATTAAAATAAGCATCTAACCAATTCATTAATAAATTATGCACCACCCCGAAAGTTATATTGTGTTTTCGCCACATTTAGAACATTTCTGATATTGGATTTAAGCATATCTTGCATTTTACAAAACTAGAGTTCGCCGCAAGGCTTCACTTCTGATTTAAGTGTATAATTATTATTTAGTTGGTTTCGCTTCGTCAGACGTAATTAATCATCGAATTTTGTGCGCTGCAACGCGGGGTGACATTTGATTATTTTACAAAGCACACACACGACATCCGCAATAGCCAATCTGAAATTAATTTGTCTCTGTGCAATGTTGGTTGTGTTCTGGTTTCGGGTTTTATGTAATTTGACGCCTGTTGTTTGTTATTTAGTTGTTTTGCGTGTTTCGCCATTGGCCGTCATGCAATGCAATTTTGTGGTTTTCAATCCGCCCCTGACCACCACTCCCACGTCGCCCTTTTTACACCCCCTTGGCGGCCATTTGTGATCGCCGGTTATTAATGAGTTTTGCAAGCCGTGGTGTTTGATTATGCGACTGCAACTACCGATGATATCTTTGTGCAACACTTTTCTAGCAACAACGATTGTAATTGATAATTAATAAAGATTTAATATCATCAAAATACAACTAAAATTCACTGCTTAAAATCATTTAAATAATAATATTTCCATTAAAAAAAAAACATGATTTCTTTGTGTGATTTATTTATTATATTGCTTTTCAGAATTATAATCAAACAGACAGTTTTACTGATTTAAACACATATGGCAAAAGTAAGCAGTAAAATAAGAAATAAAAAAACATTGTAAATTTGCAGAAGCGTGTGGGCGAAAAGTTTTGCACATATTTGCACCGAAAATTGTTTTAATTGTTGTTCAAAGTTTCGCAAAGAAAGCCAAGAAAAGTCAGCCAGTGAGGAGTGCAATATATATGGACTGCTGAACACTACTCATCAAGGAGCTGGCTAACTAAGTTGGCCAATAATAATCCACATGAGTGGCCTGGCCGGCAAAAACAACAAACAGCAAAGCCAAATTGAAGAAACAACCGAAAGAAAGGCATAAGAAGAAGTCGAAAACATTGCCTAAAACTATTTCGGGCCCGGATGTTGTCTGTTTTGTATTTGCAAGTTTTTAGTTTACAGTTGGAAAATTTGTTCGTCGAGTTCAAGTACAAAATTGTACAATTTTCAGTTCTCCTTCATCTTATTTGCCACTTGCAGGCAGAAGTCTTTTTGTTCGCACTGTTATTGTTATTGTTACTGTTGATTTTGAAGTGCAAAAAGCGAAAAAGTGTATAAACAAACGTAATGGAGAGCTAAGGAAAGGAGAACGCCAGTAAGGGAATGGGCAAACAAAAAAGAAGGAGTTCGAAACGTGTTGAAACCCTAAATCAGTTTGAAGGCCTGGGGTTGGTAGTATAAACTACATAGTTTACTGCACTTGAACCAAACTTTGATTAAGATTTTCGGTTGTTGCTGTTGGCTTGGCTTGACTCTGTTTTTTTAGTTTTTTTTTTTTTTTGTAGCTACTCAACTTGGAAGTGAGGTTAAAGGAGTGCGCTTCGAAAAACTTTCTGAATTGGATGCTCTTGAGCTTTAGTGAGTACGGGAAAAGAAAAGCCACTACTTTACTCAGTTTTCAAAATATTTCAGTTATCCTTTATAAACTTATAATTTCAAAGTCTAATCTTCTACCTAAGAGATTGAAATATATTTTTTAATTCAACAAAAATTGCTCATTGGTTTTATGGGTTTCAAAGAAACAAAACAACAAAAAATCATAAATCCTAACTAAATTATATAAACTTGTTTTGTTATTTCATCGAAAGTAAAATGCCTAAAACATACTGAATTCCCTTCACTTCAGAACTCCAATCTGCAAACAAAATACCAGTATTATTTTTATCCACACATTATCTTCACCAATTTGTAGTTCTCGCATTGTTCGCCCTAACCTCAAAACAATTAGTTTTTTCATTCCACTGCAGCCGACTTCGATTCATTTTCCATAAACAATATTCGGGACTGCAATAACAAAACAAACCGGGACCAAAGTCGAGAGCTCAATTTGTTTGTCCACTTTATTTGTAGCAGTCAAAAGCCGAAAGCAAAAAAAAAGTTTGTTTTCTCCTGGCAACTTGGAAAGCGATTTTGTAGTTTAGTTTATGTATCCGACCAGCAAGGAAAAAGGACAAATCGGAAAGTTTTCTGGATGGACAGAGGGAAAGTAACAAGGTTTCCCTAAAAAGGATTCGACTGCAAAATATTCTAAAATCTCTGTACTTTTCTTTAACCAGCTACTACTACTACTACTATTCTAACGTTAAAAACATTGCATTACTTAAACAAGTGAGTAATCCCTATTAAAATCGAGATATGTAGAAATATGATATAAGTATATTATTTATTCGATTTCTGGTTTGTTATAAGATTTTAAAGCTTGGTAACGAGTATTTAAAAATTAGCCAATGCTAGCGGATGGCATTTTTATGAGGACTTCTTGATTTATTTTGCGCTGCCAAACGCTCAACCAAGTTCAACATACTCCTAAAGTGCTGGGTATGAATAAGGACGCAGAGATAGGCGCATCCTTGCTGTCCTCGCTGTCAGTTGCACTTTGAACTGAATTTCTTTTTCAATTCGAAGGGGAAGGATGTAGGAGACGCAGGACATCTTCTTGGAGTCCGAATTGTCGGGCTCCATCCGCTCCCGGGGCAAAGAATTTTTAATATTTCATTAAATGAAGTGCCCGGAAATCGTTCAAGTGGCACACGATGAGCACGCACAACTGCACAAGGGCCGAAACTCACGAAAATCCCCACAAGATAAGCTCAGAGCGAAAAAGTCAGAGAGGCGCAGAGGGTAAGCAAGGGAAATCCGCTTAATTTTTGGCATTTTTCTGGTTAAGTCAGCCGCAGATTTTTTTCTTATTTGGCCGTACTTTTTCGTCTACTTCTTTCTAAGATCCTTTCGAAATAAACTTGCTGAGAAATTATTTAAGAAGTAAGTGTGGAAAATGCGGAAAATGCGGTCAGCGATGCCCACAGATAGGCAATGACATTTCCTTTGGTCCAAGACCGAAAACTTTATTTTTTCTAGTCCATCTTTTGTTTGTGTTTCATTTGGCTTGTCTTTGCCAATTTAAGTGGCATTTTCTTGCGGTTTTTGTTTGATTAAATGCAGGCGACAGGCCATAAATCTTTTGCAAACTTATGCTTTTTCTACAACACGGAGTAGAAAAAATAAATTACCAAAATATTAAACCTTTTTTCATCATTTAAAACATTTTAGAAAATAAAAACAGATGATAGATTTTAGAAATTTAAACTGGCAACACTTTGTTTTCAAAACAAGCAATAAGCAGTACCAAAACTTTACCTCAAACTTTTAAAAATTCATTAGTTTTTATTTTAAAAAATTTCTAACAATACTTTTGCTTTTTAAAAAGCTAAATTTTTATCCATAATTTTTTAATACCCTATTCTCTGTCTGATATCCAGCTGCAACTCAAAAGAAAGCTAAGAAGTGAGAAATGAAAGTCGTGAACTGAGCTGCAAACAATTGCAATTTCCCCAAAGCTAAAAGTCAATGAGGCCAAGAAGAAGCAGTGCAGCAAAAACTGCCTGGCTCGTCCTTTATCCCCCATTTCCCATTTCCCAGGCACCAAGCACCAAACCCCTCGTAACTTCAGACCCCTTCTCCAGAGGCTTTTGGTGCAATAAGTTCCGTGTTGTTAATTTCGCAAGAGAGTGTAACTTGTAATTTTGTATGTTGTAAAGTATCCACTTCTACGGATAAAGTCTAACTCTCCGTTTCCCTTCTCCAGAGATACGGCCATCAACTCTCTACGGACTGGTGACGTAAAGCAGGCGACGTTAAACAAGCGCGTTACGGTGCACGTGAACGTTACGTCGAATGCTTCGTTGGCTTTAACTATCAAACTTAATAACACACACATTTTTATGACAAAATGAAAAGGAAAGCAGTATCAGCACGTGAGTTGAAGTCAGGAAAACGTCGGAAAAAATTAAAACAAGAGTGTAAAAGAAAACAATTTAATTAGACCGAATATATGATATTGTTTAATAAACTTAACGAAGTGTTTTATTATTAAGGGGACATTATACATTTCAAGAGAAAACCCTTTTAAAAATCCATTTATTTCTTTTTAAACTGTTTTTAGATTTTAATTTTTAAAATAATACGCGTTCAACTATTATTGTAAGACAAAGGTTCAAAAAATAAACAAATATTCAAAATACCTCTTACCTGATTTTTTGGCTGCATTCAATTCAGATTTTGAAATTAGTTAGCAATGTTAAAGTAGAGAAATGAGAATATATTTTTATTATTTTAATGAACCTTTAGTAAAAATATTCAAAAATAAATGAATTTTTGTTGACGATAAAATATTAGAACAAAAAAAAAATCAGCTAGGTGCGAAACATTTTTGACAATATGACCAAGAGAATTCTCACCTGATTTTTTGGCTGCGGCTTTTTTACCCAAAAGGCCTGCTTTCAATCCATATTTATTGATACGATAAGCAATTTAAAAGTAGGTAATACAAAAATATTTTTATATATGTAAGAAAGTGGATAACGAGAAATCGCTAAGCTTATTATAAATGGCCGGCGATGACGTCAATCCATTTAGCTTTCTTGAATAGGAAATTCTTATTCGGTTATTTTAAGTCGATATCCTGCCCGTTTCCTCTTCAATGAAGATTGACAAGGCCATGAATGTAATTTGCTTCCCTTGGATAAGTAGGAAAAACAAAAGACAGTGGGCGGTGGAAGGATAAGCAGAAGTTCCCTAAATTAAGCTAATTGGGGTACTTTGAGTGTCAGATGATGACACATTTGTTGGCAACGAAACCAAGAATAGAAAAGTAATTTCGGGGATGTGATTTTGGGTGGTAAGTTTACCTCGTTATTGATGATTTAAATTAGATGAGCGATTGAATATTAATGAGTTAATCGATTGGCTATTTTGGCGGTGTATAATTATATACAGGAATAAAGCATTATTTATTACAATTTGATTAGCCATACATAAGAAACAAAAAACATATTTTCATATATTTAAAGGGCTATACTAACATTTCTGTTCCACACCCACTTGATAATCCGTTCTTTCACCCCAAAATATCTTTCTTATAACCCAATAACCATTTGACACTCATTAAAGCCAATAACCAGAATATTTGGGTGCCCGCAGGATAATTAGAAATCGATAAAAGAAACACTAAGAAACGAGACAAAACAGAAAACACCAGCAACAGGCTGAGAAGAAAGTAGAGAAGCAGAAAAACCCTGTGACGCACAAGGAAAACTTCAATACGGAAAAAAAGAAAAAAAAATAAGATAATTAGCCCAGGCAACTGAGGGCTGGAATGAATTATTAGCCATGGAACCGCTTCAAGTGATTTCCCTCTTGTTCCCTATACTATCCAAGCTGCTTAAAGTGTTACCAAAAAGGCGGGAAAACTTACAGAGTAGGGCAGCCGTGTTGGTCAGTTGGGCGCTCCCAGGCGATGAGGCAGCTGCTGCTGCTGCGGCGGCGGCGTTCGAGAGACTCGGCTGCGTCATGGCCGCGATGGCTGCCAAATTCTGAACGGTCATCGGGGTCAAGAGTCCGGCGGCCGCAACGGCGCTCGTGTCCGTCGCCGAGCTGCTCTGCTGGGCTCCCAGACCTGTGAGGGCTGTAAAACGGTAAAAAGGTATAAAACGAAATTCAAATCAATTAAATAGCGCTTGCCATGATTAAGACTTTAGAAAAAGTTGCTGTCTTTATATCTGACTATTCATATTCAAACCACAACTTAAATCAAGGTTAGTTTGAAAACAAATGTTTAGAATAGCATTCGACATATAATCAGATGTCTACTTATCAGGGATATATATTTTAACGTTATTCTCACCTTGCAACAGCTGCTGCTGCAGCCCAACCGCTTGTAGTTGCTGCAGCAGTTGGATTGAGGCCGGGGTGATGGCATCGGCACCGAGGACCGGCGACGGCTGCTGCGGCGGGTTGGGCAGAATGGGCGTGGCCACGCTAGTCGCAGTTTGGCCCAGCGGGATGTTGATGTTGCTGGCCAGATTCCATAGGTTGGCCTGGATCTGCTGGATCTTCTTTTGCTCCTTCTCCTTCTGCGTATCGGCGAACTTGACGACCAGCGGCGATGTGCAGCCCTCCATGATCTTGTTCTGGCTCAAGGTCTTTGGGGATAGGGAAATGTTTAAAACAAGTTTTTGTGTATGATGTCGGTTTCACTCGGTACTCACCACTTTAATGGCCGAGATGGCGGCGTGTTTGGTGGCGAATGTGACGAAGGCACAACCCTTGCTCTGACCGTTCTGGTCCCGGAGAACGGTGCACTCCTCAATGGCTCCGTGGACTTCAAATAGTTTACGAACGTCGTTCTCGTTCAGCTTCTTGTTTAGCATTCCCACAAAAAGTTTTCTTTCTGTAAATGAAACCAAAATACCATGTTAGGATTAAAAATAAATGCATATTGTTTATATCTAAATATAGGAAATGAGAATATTGTTTACTGGTATTCTTTAAGTATGCCAATCCAAAGAGTGGAATTCTGTTAAATGATCTATTTGGTTATATCTTATATAAAAGAATATCACATTACATTCATAAGTCGAAAACTGCGAAAAATAAAAAATAAAACGCCAAAATAGGTTCTATTGATAAGTCAGATCAGCTTAACTCTCTGATTTATTTTCTCATGTTAAATGAACATTTCCAGACAAATTTCTATTAAGTTAAGAAAAATCTAAGACGAGTTTAACAAAGACCTTGGCCTTGGTAAATTAATCGTTGCGTGAAACGCTGGCGGAAGCCTTAACCACATCGACGAGTGTAACCCAATGCTAGACGGCCTCGGCCTCGCCTTGGCTGAGAGCTCTGTGTTGTGGCATTGAGAAGTGCCACACTCAAGTGGGTTAGGGCCAGGTTCGAACTGGTCCGGCCTGGTCCAAACCGAGTCTGGGGCTTTACGGGAGAGTCTGTGTGCTCAGCCAGGCTTAGTTAATTCCAGCATTTGGCAATGCTCAATTAATTTTACATAAATTAAAACTCTCGCTCCATGCGAATACTGGTCTGGACTCGATAACTAATTGGCAGGCATTTAACATTTCGCCAAATATTTGCACTTTCCATGAAAAAGGGCTCTAAGTGCGGAGAAGAGGCAGTGGAGGAGGAAAATGGGCAACTAATTTATTTGCACAAGCACGCAAAATGCGCACTGCACAAATTAATTGTTATCGAATGTGCAATTGGTTGAGAATGTTTTTCCAGGAGGGTTAGGGGGTGGGGTGTGATTTGATGAGGTTGTTTGTGCGGGCGGATCGGTTCGGTTGGTTGAACTTTCTATATTTTAACTAAACCAAATTGGAAATCAATTGGCTTAAATATATTTAAAGTGCTGACAATTACTAAGAGCGTATTTAATTTCTATGACTTTTGTTAAAAGAATTTAAATACGCATGTTTTATTTCAATTTTCAGGATTTATATGTCCGCAATTGTATATGACACATTCACTTTATAGATTTTTAAAAATATGTATTTATATTTATTTAACTTTTCTTTAATTTGTATTTAAAGTAAAATAATTTGTATATTTCCCAAACTCTAGAATTTTTAATAAACAAAATTATTTTCCTAAGAATGCTTAAAAATTTTATTTTTTTTTAGTTTTGAATGTGGAGCTTATGTCAAGCTTATTGCATTAGTTTTATGATCCATAAAAACAAACAACAATATTCTGCAGTTGTTTATGAGTCACGAAACCTTATTCACCAAATATTAAAGTAATCACAATATAATTTAAAGCCAATTTATGTTAACCTTAGTTTATCCCAAAAGAGTCCAATTAGTGTTTGCTAATTTCAACTGTGCTGTCAGAAATTTTCGAGCAAAATCAACCAAAAAATCGTATTAAACTGCTTTGTAATAAATTATTATTTTATCGCTTCAATAAACGAAAAATTTTTAGTCAATGCAAATTATGTTTTATAGTATGCAATTTGCCAGGGCAGAAATTTCAAGCGCCCACCGCCGCCCATTGAAAATCTGTTTTTGGAAATCAATTAAAATTATAATTAAGCTGCTTATGGGGTGGAAATTGATTTTTAGTAGTCATTCAGGTCATTGACTGAGCTGCCCTGGTGTCGGGTATTTAAAAATATTATTCGAAACTTAGTATTATGGCGGTTTTTATGGTCGGGAGTAACCGCAAGAAGTGTTGAAATTCAGCTTAATGGCTGGGAATTCTAATGCCCCTGGTTTTCCCCCATTTCGGTCTGCCACTTGCCACATTTCGAGGCATCATCATGCTGCAATGCGGCTCCATCCTTCCACTCGATGGAGCATCCTTCTACTGCCTCTCCATCGCCCCCAATTCAATTGCCGTTCCGAGTGCTGATGCTGCATCATCATCATCATTATTATCATCTTCCCCAAGCGTTATCAAATGCAAAACCCCTTACACACACACACATTGCAATGATGGAGAAGGAGGAGAAGCACTTGCACTATTATTATTATTATGATTATCGCAAACTGCAAGTGCAACTGCAGCAGCGACATCGACTAACTGCACTTGAGCTATATTATCATAATCCTTGCAGAAATTGCGCGCAGTCAGCAGCAGTGTACCCAATGGCAAAGGAATTTTAAAATTCATTGGATTCGGTGCTTGGCGGTGGCGGAATGCCAATACTTCGTCTGAACATCCACCTCTCACATTGATTCCATAATTTAAGTCTCGATTGCCGAAAATAAAGTAAACAGACTCTGCGCGACGGTGACCTCATTAGTTTGGATCAGCCGCAAATTGAAAGCGTTTCTTATCACTATCGACGGATCAAGCTCAAGAAGGAGGATATTGGGTTTTATCTTAGTTATATTAAATGTTTGTTGGTCTTGTGTTGCATCTTCAAGAGCTCAGCATTTTAAGAACTTTTTGCAAATTTACAACTGTGATTATTTTTGACGGCAATCCAATCCAAATCAACGTCTGGGTTTTTTATATTTAAGATATGCATTCTACTGAGGAATAATATTCTTTTATTTTTCATACCTGAATATCAACCCTCGCAAATCTTAAGCGGCACTCAATTTAAACCTAAATTCCGCCACTGAGGTAGCGAGAAAACTTTACCTTTAAGTCTTGCCAGCAAAATTGCTTTAGTTTTAAATTATTAATATGTCGGACCGGGCTCTCACTTCCTAGTTATTGCACTCCTTCCCTTTGAAGCAGCTAAAAAGGGGGGAAATGGACGAGTCAGTGAGCCGGCTTCGGGGTAATGCAACTAATCTGCTTCTAGTGGCGCACATTAAGTGTTGCCACGCTTTCGACTTTAATTTGAAAACATAAAGCAGAAAAGGGGCGGTGGCGGCGGCGGCCAGAGTAGTGGATAAAGTGCGGGCCACTTCTGCAACCTACATCCATATACACACATATAGCAAGGACTTTATTTTTCCTTGCTCCATGGCGCTGGCCATTTTTGCATGCAACTCAACTTAACCGAGCGACCACTCGAGCCCCGAGCCCCGACCCCTAAACCTGAAACCTGAACCGGGAAACTACGACCGGATTCTGGAACCCCGAACTCGAACCCCGAACCCAAAACCGAAACCAAATGCAGGGCGAACGAGCCATGACATCGACGTTCTGAACGCTTCTTTCCCACTCTTAATTCTAGCCCCCTTTTTCTTTGGATTCTGTATGTATTGAGTGGGTTATGAAAATTATTACTAAAATAATGACTATGGAAATACCCATTAGTAGTATTGAGCAAAATGTTCAACAAAATATGACTATAGAAATACATAATAGAAATAATAAGAAGACTGCGCCACAAAGTTAGTTTTATTTTCTCTAGAATGTGGAGGTATCTTAAGTTATTCAAACGCATTTTTAACTTTCTGTAAGGACTATATAATTTTTTTAAATGCGTTTTAATAAAACTAAAACTAATTTTACCGCATAAAATTGAAGAACCTTTTCAAAACCAATCCCCCGCCGTGTTCATCATTCCCCGAAATGTAAATCCAAAAATAACGCACAACGTTCATAAAAACGGGTCATATTTGCCACCATATTCCATCCGAGTGTGTGTATGTGAGTGGGCCCGTGCATCCTTCAGTCAAACCACCAACTACCCCCTGGTAGCCCACCCCCCAGTAGCCCACCTCCTCCCCCTCAGTGGCCCACACACTTGGCTTAGCTTATTTATGTCACAAATATGAGCAAACGCGTACGCAATGCCACGGCTGGATGGACTTGCCTTGCTTGGATAGAACCACTTCCCTCTGCCAACTGCCCACTCACCAAACTACCCCCCTTAAACACCACCGCCTCTTCACGCCCCTACACATCTAAGCACTCCTCACCTGGCTGCTTTTCCCACTTTGCATGCATCGCTGCGTGTTTGGCATATTTAACAAATTTTCGCAAAAATAATGTAACTCTCCATGCTGAACTCACGTTGTTGTTTTCCCCCATGTCGTTGTCGTTGTTGTTGTTGTGGCTGCGGTTATACGGGGGTTGTTATTGGGTTGGTTTAAAAGTGAGTGGCAAAATCTAATCAAGCGCTGCGGCAATGGTCGCACACCAGCATCAAAATACACACATACAGGCCACTCTCATAGATACACGCGCACACACATTTACATATGTGCACTAGGCCACTCGAGGAAAAATTGCAAAACCAAACCAATTCTAAGTTATTGATTAAACCAAAATTTGTATTAAAAATTTGATATATATACCTTTAGATTTATTTAAATCTTGAATAAAGATGTTAAAGGTGTAATAAAAAAACTTGTTTTGTTCAAAAAAATGTACTAATATTTATAATAATTATGTAATTTTATGTGAACTCTCATATAAATCCGAATCTATACATAGGTATTCATTTTTATTTGAACTCCACCAAGTCACAAAACTCTCACTTTTTAAAAGTTCAGATGGTTTTAGAGCCCTACATTCTCAATACTTATGGCATTACAGCATATATAACATTTTTTCACCAGCCTAATGAAATTTACCTTCCGCCAATGCCAACACAATTCCAATGCATTATTAAATTTAATTTCGGGCATGTCGAGGAGAGCTGCCAACAAAATTATGGCAAATACTTTGCCGCTTGTATAAAATTTAAATTTTAATCGGCAGAAGTCGGAGGTTATGAGAAGGGCAAAGAAAAAAATGTTGGTCGACTGCGCGATTTGCAGTTATAAGGGTGTTCTGGCATTTTATTCTTTTTAGTATTGCGGAAACTTATGGCCTTTTATTGTTTCTTAGCTAGTAATTTTACAAAAATGTATACCTGCTCTTGGTTCTAAAATTCAAACAAATTTGGCAAGTATTTCTTCCCTTTTCTAAATTTTTGTAGCTTTTCATTTTATTTTGGTCCTTCGTTTCCTGCGAATCTTTCGCTTCCCC